GTGGTGTCAGAGGGCCTTGAGGAGCCCACAGACACCTCTACCCTTCAGCTCCCTTTTCTTTTCCCCCCACTGTTTTGGACCCAGACCAGTTGTCCCCTGTATAACCTCTACCCACCCTGCCAAACTTTCTTCCACAACCAAAGCTTCCAATGAATAGTAACGAGTAAACTCCTGACATATCTTGCCCCCTTTGCTCTTGTGTGTGTAATGCCCTCACTCCCTGCACCCCTGAGAGGAGGGGCTCACTCGCACACATCCCCCCACCACACCAAACATCTACTCAAAGTGCGGAGATGCTCCTGGGTGGGAAGGAAGCAGGGAAGGACGCAGGTGGGCAGAACTCCCATCAATACATCTCACCTGTTTATTGAGTTTGTAATAAAGGGGGTAGTGAGGGAAAGGAAGCATTTAAAATCAGAGCCCATATTGGACACTAGAGAGAGAAAATTTAAATTAAATCAACAAGGGGAAAGTGGGGGAAAGTAAGAGGGAGCCTTGCCCACCTTTCAACATCAAATCAAGAAATGTGGGGGAATGCAAAGGATGAGGGGAGGGGAGAAACAGACCTTCTCTTCAGTCCATCCTCCTCTCCCAGAGCTGGGAGACACACTGCTACTGAGTAAGAGTGCGCAGTTCAGAGCAGATGCTTCTCCCAGCCTGTGCACAGACAGACGTCACTCCTCCCCACACCCTCCTGAGAGTGGCCATGGTTGGCCTTGGCCAACAGAAATGGAGGGGCTGGAGGGAGGGTCCAGGAATAAGGAAGGGTCAGCAGGGACCCCAAATACTGATTCTCCTCTGGCTGGAGGTGGGCAGAAAGGAGACACAGCTCAAATACTGAGCAACCAGAAAAAGAAGAAGATGGCAAGAAACAGGAAAAGGGAGTCCTGCCAGCTGGAGGCCGGGTGCCCCTGTCCCAGATCCATACCTGTAGGAGAAAGGAAAGCTGTGGCAGAAGCATCCACTCCAGAGCCCACACTGAGGGGATTCAGGGGGTTCCCTGGTAGGGGTTGAGGGAAGGCTTTTACCTGCACCCCGGCGGAATGGCTCATGGGTATTAAAGACAGTGGTGAAAAATCCAAAGGGAAAAGCACCAACACCAAATGAGAAGTGAAAGCCTCCAGTGTCACCAAACGGCTGGAATCCCTAAGGAAATAGATAAAGTCAGAGTGGAGCTAGGCAAGCCTTTAGCAAAGAAGGAACACAATCAGACAAGACTCACCCCTCTGCCTTCTGGAGTTGGTCGCTGGCCCCGGGGGCGAGGTGGAGTTTTCAATCTGAGGGAAAGAGGGACATCAACAGGAAATGTCCTCTCCACTTCCACACCCCACCATCAAAGAGGAAGTCTTCCACCTTCCCTCAGCACCCTTCTCTCTCTCACCTGGGATCCTGGGGCTTCTGACTCCCTCGCCCATAAAGAGGCACAACATTTTCTCTGCTGATCCCAGCTTTACACACTGGGCACTCTTGCCGCTCTGGCCGCGTCTCCAGCCACTGGGGGGAAAAATGAAGTGGTTTCCAGTACACAGCAGAGTCTTCCAGCAATTCAGACCTCCCCCATTTCCCTCTTCATCTTCTCTGAGTACGCACCTGATGAAGACAGGGCCAACTGGATGGAGGGTGGGAGGAAGAAAAAGGTCAAACTAGCTACAGGAAAGAGAGACACAGACCCCACCTCAGAGTCCCATCTCACCACCAACCCCCAGGTAGTACCAGCTGTTTCTTTTCATATCTTCTGCCACCTCTACCATGCCAGCCAACTTGGCCTTCCTGCTTTCCTGATCTAAAAGTTCATCTATACTTAAAACGCTCAACCCTCTCCTCTCCCCAACACACACACACCCCATCCCCTCCTTTCTCCTTTTAACTTAATTTCCAATTCTCTTCAACCACCCCTTTCCAGATCTCCTCCTTCAGTCCCAGCCCTATCCTTGCCCCCATTACTCCCAAACAAACCCCCTAGCTAGCACCCTCCCCCACTACTACTTTTCCTCTCTTCCAAGCCCAATAAAGTCCCTATTGCCACAACCCTTTAAACTCTCAAGACTGTCCCTCCAAGTGCCCTTGTCCTCAGGGCATACCACACCCTGCCATACCTCACCCGAATGTGACCCCACATTCCAGGTCTCCCCTGTTCAACTAATGCCTCCCCTATCCTTCGAGTCTAATCCGCTTCCACCCAGATAGCTAAGACCCCTCCCTTCTCTGGGGTAAGGTGGCTAGGGTCTCACCTACACAGGTGTGCGGTGCCCACACTCCCACTCCACTTCTAACATGCCATACGCTCCAGGTCCTACTCTATGCCTCTCCTTGCCACAGGTCTCGTCTGTACAGACGTGACCCTCCCACCCACACGTACCCGAAAAGACGTTATGTCCCCTCCTCGGGACTCAATTGTATCATCCCCCGCCCCCAGCCTCCCCCGCATGAAGGTGAGCCCCACTCCTTTCGCCCCCTTCCCGATTCTCACCAGTACAGGTGGCCACACACACTGATCACAGCTTCCCGAGCAGTCTCCAAACATATGTTACATTCGAAGGCCGCGCCCGCCCCGCCCCGCATGCGGTTTGTCCCTTCGGGGCCCCCGTCCTCCTCCTCCGCTGCTGCCATGGCCGGTTCAGTTTCGCCCCCCACGTACCCCTTAGTCGCCGCAAACACAAATATACAAGCCCCAACAAACAAGAAACCGCCTCCGGTTCACGATCGTTGGGGAGGCTTCAAAGTTTTTTAATCACGATTGGTCTGACTGCCTGCCAATCACACGGGATTCAAAAGAAAGGATTGGTCAGAGGCGGAGGGTGAAAGAGGTTTGCGTGGTCCTGCCCTCTGCACAATGATTATTGGCTTATACAGTCGCAATCAGTATGCACTGCCAGGCTGGTAATAACGCCTTACGTCCTGTCGCTTGGCCAGGGAAGGTTTTATTCGTCTGAGTAGCTGCCAGTCATATCCAAAGGCCAGAAGCAATTGGTTCGAGACTCCATAGACCTCGCCCATATAAGCCCCTTTCTTTCCTTCACTTCCGCTTTCGGAGACTGTCCGGATTCCTATTGGACTTTGGAGCTTAGGGCTTCGAAGCAATTGATTGGCTAGAACTCGACGGAAAATGGTGGCTAAGTAAAATGCGCGTGCGCAGCGGGCGGCGGGAAGGGGTGGACCAATCCTGGGAGGGTTGAGCATTCTCTGGCCCATCCCTTCACCTCTATACTGTCGCCACGGTGACTGTTTTACAATTGGTTGGGTTTGAGGGGTTCAAACGCCTCGGGTTAGCCTCATCCTGTGGCCTCTCTCTCCTGATTGGTTCGTTTCTTTTGCTCCAATTGGCCGAGATCGGGAAAGACGGCGAAGAGCTCCGAAAAGAGGCCGAACCCTAGGGTCGCAGGGTCCAAAATGGCTTCGGCCTCCTGTAGAGAGCAAAACTTGGGTCCACTCCTCCCTCTTAGTGAAGAAGGAGAGACTGGGATTAGCCCGACGTTTGGACGGTGCCAGCATCGACTTGCGGCTCTGGTGTTAACCCATCTCCCTCGGCTGGACGACTCAGCCCGCACCTCTTTAGGTCATTTACAGTGCAGAACTGAAGGCCCATCCCTTTTTTTAGTGACTGGTAGAACACAGTAGACATCGATTCCGTTTTAAACCACAGTAGCAGAAAAGGCCTAGCTCCACCCCTTTTATGAGTGGGTGCAGAAGGGGAAAGGTCCGCCCCTCTTTAAGAGGACCCGCGGAGCTTTGGGGTTTAGGCCGGCCTCTTCCTTCTTGTAAGATGTCCTGGAGAACTAGGGTCTTCCTCATGGGCTGGACCCCTGGGACTTAGGCAAGCAGCTTCAGAGCTTGGGACTTTCTTACAAGTTTGGGCCTTTGTTCAGTCTGTGACCCTCACTCTGGCCCAAGGAGCAGAACTAGGTAACACTCCTCCCAGTCCCAGTGCTCTTTACATCACAGGGCGTGTAAACTCAAGGCAAAGGTGTGTCGGGGCGGGGCAGACCTGGGCTGAGGGCAGTTCAGCAACTACCTGGTAAAAGCAGGGGAGGTGAGGTTTCAGTTCTGCAGAGATTTAGGGGAAAAGCTTTTGAAAAGAGGTGGAGACCAAGGAAAAAGTAGTGATGGAATAATCCTGGTAAAGGGATAACGCTAGTATCGGGAGCACAGGCTGGAGACAAGAGCTAGGTACATGGCTACAAAATTAGGGAGGCACACTTATCCCAGAGAAATCAGCATTCTTCCTTACTATTTTTTCCCGATGAAAGCAATCCTAATGCCCAATTTCCATTGTAAAAGTAGACGCACCCACATTTTGTGTTGGGAGAAGGGTTGTCTCAGCTTGGGTAAATAAGGAAACCGATAGGAAGGAACTAGAAAAAGTACTGATGTTACACAGCATGGGAAGACGGGCAGGGAGAGGGCCTGAGAGTATCCTTTCTCTTTAAAGAGGCAGGGGCCAGGGGGAGTTGGACTGCTGAGAGGTAGTGAGAGGACAAAGGGCAAAGAAACCGCAAGAGGGCTACAGGGTGAGGTGAGATGGAGGGACAAAAAGAGGTGAAGGACCTACTGCTTGGCATATAGTAGATGCTTGATAAGTATTTGGAATTGAATGGGGGACAGGAAAGGGGGTATTGGAGAATTGTTGGAGGAAATAAACAGCAACTATGGGAGCTAAGGAAACGAAAGAAGCCAAGAAAAAGTGACAAAAGGAGAACTGACGAAGGCTGAGAAGAAGAAATAGGCCAAGAAAGGAATACAGCACGTAGGGACACACAGGTCATATTTGCTAAAGGGGAGTTTTATGGAGGGAAAAAGACGCAGATGCAGGCATTAGACAGACACATGCAGAGCTCAGCTCTTCTCCGAGCGGAGCTAGCGAGAGAAGACTGGTAGATGTAGGAAGGCGAGGCCTAAGTTCGTGGGAGGCGATTGGCCAAACAGGCTGCCCATCACCGCCCCCTACTTCCTGGCCAGCCCCGGAAACCAGCAGGCGTTGGGGAGGAGGGGGTGGATAGCGGCAGCAGCGGCCCCAGCCTTCAGAGACAGCAGGAAGGGAGGGAGGTGGGGAGACAAGCCCCCACCATCCCTACCGCTATGGGCCCAGACTTCCACTCTCCCCTCCCCTCCATCGGCCGGGGCTAGGATACCCCCAAATCCTATCGTCCCCTTGGCACCGACACCCTGACCGAGGCAGAGACCCAGCCACCCATCACCACCGCTGCCGAAGCCTGGCTGGGGAGGGGGCCACCTTCTTAGGCCCCCCTCCCCACTGAGGTGGGGGCAGGAAAGGGGGGAGGGGAGGGGAGGGTGGGAGAGAGATTGGGTCTGGGAGGACGGACTGGGAAGAGGGTTGCTGGGTAAAGGATGAGAGCCGACTAGGGAGAGGGGGCCTGAAAGGGAGAAAGGATGGAAGAGTCAGGGGGAGGAGAGATGGAAACCCCGTGAGTTGGGGATGGGGTGTGTACAGGGAATCCTGGAGAGAAAATTCCTGCAGCTTCCCCAATTCCCTTCCTTGCCCTTTGGCCCCACCTGACTCTTGGGAGTTGTGGCTGGGAGAAGGTGGTTTATTGTCCTTCTTCCCCCAGCATAATTTGCTTCCTAGGAATCCCCCTAGACAGGTCTGTTTCCATCCAGGCACAGGTCCTCTTGTTTTTCAGTGGCCTTCAGCACTGCTAGACCCTTACTGACACTCAGATGCCTTGTGGGGGGCCATGTTTTCTATGTTGAATCTGTGTGCCTTTGATATAATTAATGGCTTGTGTGCAGTTAGGCTGTGCAATGCTGTCCATGGGCTGTGGAGAAATAGCATGTTATTTTCCACCAGAATTGCCCGTTCTCATGTCTTATGTCCATGTCTCACATCTGTCTTGACATATTCAAGTGTGTGAGTTTTCATGTACATATTGCACCTATTGTTGATTTCATGTGTCTTGCACATGTTATTTTTCGGCACATTTACTTGAGCATATAGAGATTATACCGTGGTTTCTTGGGCTCATGTGCTTTGTCCACAGCCCCACCACATGCAGCAGTCTTCATGTGTGGGACCCATGGCCTGTCTAACTCGCACACGCCCCTTTTGTAAGCTGCATATGTTTTTCCAGTCAGGGTTCACTCTGCACATATGTGTGCCCCTTCTCATGATATGCTGATATGCCATGTCCAAAGCATGTTTGCTTATGGCTACACATACTGTCCATTAATTTTATTGGCAGTATATATACCTTGGGAGTCACATGTCGTTAACTCATTTGGCACTCCATTGTGTTTATACATTCTTATATATTTCTTCTCCAGAGAGGACACCTAATGTTACATATCAGAGAGGGTAATGGGGCCTCCACCTCCCCAAAAACCTAGCCTTACCTTGCTGATCTCTCTGGCCTGTGTCCCTTCCCCCACGTTCTCTCTCTCGTGGCTGTGTACAGCCTGAGACTGTGGAGGTCAGTGCATGTCGTATGGTCAGCCCTGCCATGCACTGAGCTGTCCCTGACTCTGCATTATTGGCATGTATTGGATGGCACCAGTGTCTTTCTCCGTGGCGCATTAACCCCCATTCTGTGTGTTTCTCTTGTGTAGACGGTGATATGTACCATCTTGATTGTTGTCACTGTGCTTTCACTGTGGCCAGTATCAAATGCATATATTGAGGGTAGGTTACTGTTCGGCTTGATGTGTTCACTGCTTTCTCAGGGACTTTTCTTTTCATAGTTAGTAGTCCTCAAGGGGGTAGCTATCCTGTGTTCAGAACCGTCATTTCTGTCATTAATTATGCTTGCGTGGATATGTATACAGCCTTTTGATCTGTTCAGCAAATGGTAATGAGCCCTTCTCTGCCTCCTCCTGCCATGGGCACTGGGGATAAGACAGAGTCCCTGTTTTCAAGCTGCTTATAGACTGGAGAGGGAAACAAAAATGACAGTGAGCAGTTATACACAGTGGTGTCAGCATCAGTGGTTCTCATACTCACCTGGAAGTCTTGTTAAAATACAGTCTAATGGGCCCAGCACCCAAAATTTCAGATCCAGGAGCTCTGGGGTGAGGTCTAAGAAATTGTACTTCCACACTTTGAGAACCAGTAATTAAGATAAAAGTGTAATGAAAAATCAGGCCTGGAGGGGTTCAGGAAGACCTCTAAAATGTGACCCTGAGCTAAGTGAGGCAGTGGAAGGAGGTGAAAGGGCATTCCAGCCTAAAGGAATAACACGTTTGTGGCACAGAACCCGGAAAGATCAGGGTGTGTCTTAGGAACTGAAGTAGACCGTTTTGGGGTAAAGAGGCATTTGTGGGCATGTGGCTGAAGATGTAAGCAGAAGTCCACTTGTCAAGAAGGGCCTTTAGACAAGACAGGAGTTATGCCCAGATCTGTATTACAGAAAAATCTCTGGTTGCCATGTGGAGGAGGAGTTGGAGGGGAAGAGTTAGGAGCCTGTTACAAACAGTCCAGGGGAGAAACACTGCTCCACGCCCTCAGGGGCAGTGGGATGGGCGGCTCCAGAGGCTAGCATCTCAGAGCAGGCAGACACTCCTACTTCCTCTGTTGCCTGTTACCTTTGCTCTTGGCAGTGGGCTTACCTTTGAGCACAGGCTTTCTTGTTATTGGAAAGGTGTGTCTTTGGCCTTGATATTATTTGCCTGAACAACTTTTTGTGAATTGTGCCCCTGGCCCCAGAAGTGGGGCAGCAGAGTGGAGGAAGAAGGAAGAGTCTAGAAGGCAGATTCTGGGTACCTGCCCATCTTCCTCCTGAGTTCTTTCCTCTCCCGGGGCAGGTGGCGTGATATCCTTTTTAATCTCTGCCCTCTTTTTTTCACTTGGTGAGGCCTTACCCTCTGTATCTGCCTGGCCAGACTGCCTCTGGTGTCGCTGGAAGGGAGGGAAGGAGTGGTGGGATTCCCTTGCCTATCTGTGGAGGCAGGATTGATAGATGTAGTTACTCTTGGTATGTCCATGGTTTTATCTGGAACAAGGGAGGTTGCCTGGGTGGAGAGGGACTTTCTAGGTATGCATTTCTAATATTTCATCTGTCACTGAATGTGATTATAAATGTGAGTGTGTGTGAACCAGTCTGTCTTGGTGTGTATGTGTTTGGTTAGCGACAGAACCTTTATTCTTGCGAGTCAGCCTTTGAGAATGTCTGTGAGTGTTTTGTGACTTTCATGACTTTCACTGTGTCTGCTACATGTGCACCTATGTATATGCCTACAGGTGGCAGTGTGACTGAGTGGCTAGGGGCACAAGCTGCTTAGGTGGAAACTGCAAGGTGCCTCTGAGGAGCCATATCACCTCAGGTAAGTTATCTAACTTCTCTGGGCCTGTTTCCTATAAAATGTAAACTTTGTGGTTTAATATAGTGTAAAGACTAGCCCTGTCTAGCACAAAATATAACACAAGCCACAAATTTTAATATTTTGGTAAAAAAATAAGAGGGTGATATTAATTTTAATAACTTCTTGAACCCAAAAGTTTATACTTTCAAAACGTAATCAATATAAAAGGTTTTCATTTAGAGTCTTTGAGATGTGATATGTATTTTACATTTCTAGTACATCTCAGTTAGGACTGGCCATGTGGCAGGTGCTCGGTAGCCATATGTGGCTGGGGGCTGTTGGTTGGACAGTGCAGGTATAAACTGTTACATGGTAACAGTTTAGACCTTACAGTTAAGACCTTACCAGCTGCTAGTGTTAGCTCTCCTTTGTATTGTCCTTTTATTATCATGTATCTGTGACCTGTGGATGTATATGTCTCATGTCTCTTGTGTATCTGCAGATATCGGAAGCCTTCAGAGAGAGGTGTGGGAGACCAGTCCGGAGCCCCCCACTGCCTCCATCCTAGAGAGGCTTCCTGGGTGGGTTTCAGTGGGACCCCTGGTGCCATCCTGTGCCTCCTGCCTTCTGCACCTCATCTGCCCCACCTGCACCAGGAATCAGGCCCACTGCCCCTCACCCTATCCCTGCAGGTGACCAGAATGGAGCTGTGGCCAGGGGCATGGACAGTGCTGCTGCTGCTCTGCCTGTTGCTGCTCTTCCTGCTTCCCACCCTGTGGTTCTGTAGCCCCAGTGCCAAGTACTTCTTCAAGATGGCCTTCTACAACGGCTGGATCCTCTTCCTGGCCGTGCTCGCCATCCCTGTGTGTGCTGTGCGAGGACGCAATGTCGAGAACATGAAGTGAGGGCCAGGGTGTTGGATGATGAGGGGACCTAAGGGGTCGGAAATGAGCAGTGGGTGGGGAGGGCATGCGGTATGCAGGAGAGACTGAGAGTGTCCAGGGCCAAGGAAGGGGAGAGGACTGCAAAGACACCCAGAAAGAAGGGAGGGTAGAAGGGAGCTGAGGCATGGAGGTGGGTGTTGGTGGATCCTGCTGAAACCGCTTGCCATGACATCCCATAGGATCTTGCGTCTGATGCTGTTGCACATCAAATACCTGTATGGGATCCGAGTGGAAGTGCGAGGGGCTCACCACTTCCCTCCTTCACAGCCCTACGTTGTCGTCTCCAACCACCAGAGCTCCCTCGACCTGCTTGGTGAGACCCTCACAGAATATACTTCCCTCCGCCATGCCCTTCCTCCTGGAACCTGCCCCAGAATCTTCTCTCTTGGAATTGCTCAGCTCCCCTGCATCTGGGGTGTGGTCTTCTACCCCTGATAAGCAGGGTGGTAGACCTTTAGTCACCCTTCCCTCCACTTGGGGCTTCCCTGGCCCTGCCCCCCACCCCTCCTCCCTCTTCCTTTATATCCAGTAGACCTGTGTGAGGTGGGCTGCCTCCACCCTGATGCTCACCCCACCCCCACCTCTACCCAGGAATGATGGAGGTACTGCCTGGCCGATGTGTACCCATTGCCAAGCGGGAGCTATTGTGGGCCGGCTCTGCTGGGCTGGCTTGCTGGCTGGCTGGAGTCATCTTCATCGACCGGAAGCGTACTGGGGATGCCATCAGTGTCATGTCTGAGGTCGCCCAGACCCTGCTCACCCAGGACGTGAGTCACCCCAGGGGCATGGGGACTATGAAGTAGAACAGTTGTAAATAAACTGATAAGCAGCACCAAGGGGCCTCAGAAGTCCCATTACAGCGTCACAACCATATGTGACCCCTCTGTATGTGAATGTCTTCCTTGACCCTCCTTCTTCCCCAGGTGCGGGTCTGGGTTTTTCCTGAGGGCACAAGAAACCACAATGGCTCCATGCTACCTTTCAAACGTGGTGCCTTCCACCTTGCAGTGCAGGCCCAGGTGATTACTACCTCTCCTTCTGCTGCTCTGCCCCAGGCCCCGACTGTCCTTTCCTCTCTGGCAGAGGCTTGTCATGGGGTCTCAGAAGAGCCATGGGCTGATCGCTTTACCCCTTCCCCAGGTTCCCATTGTCCCCATCGTCATGTCCTCCTATCAAGACTTCTACTGCAAAAAGGAGCGTCGCTTCACTTCAGGTGAGAGCTCCGAGCAAAACAGTGGGGGTGAGGGGCCAGAAAGGTCATGGTAGATGCTGAGGGACGTCCCTGTAAGGCAGGATCAGTCTGTCAGGGTTGTGAGATGTCCACAGGATCATCTGCCAATAAGTATGTATTAAGCACCCACCCTACCATGCTAGATAAGTAACATTTGGTCCCTCCAAGAGAGGCCATTACTATACTTCAGGAAAGATAAGGCCTGTGTGTGCAAAGCTGTTAACACTCAGCAGTAAACCCTAAACCTAGGCAGTGGATGGGGAGTGGAAGGGTCCCATGTCTGGAGTGGGGTTTGAGGAAGGCTTTGTGCAGGAGGGCTGCAAGGAACGGGGCATCTAGCAAACAGGCATTTGTTCAGGGTCGGAGGAAGAGCACTAAAAGGTTGAGGGGAGTAGCTTAAGAGCTCAGAAACTGGGCCCAAGCTGTGGGCAGAGCCCTGGGCAGACAGGCCCTGACTGTGCTCATCCTCCTCCCAGGGCGATGTCAGGTGCGAGTGCTGCCCCCAGTGCCCACAGAAGGGCTGACACCAGATGACGTCCCAACTCTGGCTGACACAGTCCGGCACTCCATGCTCACTGTTTTCCGGGAAATCTCCACTGACGGCAGGGGTGGTGGTGACTATCTGAAGAAGCCTGGAGGAGTGGGCGAGGCCCAGTTCTGAGCTCCCCTCCCGTCTACCCCACTTTCCTCCACACCTCCCAGCCCAGTGGGTTCTGAAGCAGGGCCAGACCCTCTTCGTTTCCCCTCTCCCCACTCCATGTCCTCTTTGGAAGCTTCAGCTTCTGAAGTGAGTATCTCTGCCCACCCCAGCTCTCCCCATGGACTCTCTTGCCTTGGTGCAGTCCCCACTCTGACCCCTACCCACCTCCTGTGCCATCGTGTCTATGAGACAGTTGCCTCCCCTTCATCTCTTCAGTGGCTCAGCCTACCCATGGGTGGGAGCACTCCATTCTGTCCCCACTGGACTGTCTTCCTTTGTGGTCTTCTCTCCCTCTCCACCCCAAATTGACCAGTGGATTCGTCCATTCTGTGGGACAGTTTCCCACCCCACATCCATGGATTCAGTGGATGCATCTGTTTGTGAGGAGGACTCCTCATGCTGTGCCTGGAAGCTGGTGCCTGGAACACTCGTCCCAGGCTCCTCCTGGGAATACTCCTCAGCACCTCACCCTCCTTCCGTGTGGAGCCTCCTTTCAGTGGAGGCTACACTCCTCACTCAGAGTTCTCATCCCTGCCGTGCCCAGGTGCCCAGGAGTGAGCAACCTTCTGGAAGCCAGTTTGGTCTTCACATTTCTGCTTCCCTGTCCCCATGGTACATTTCTTCTGTGGCCCTGGCCCCACCCACCCTCCTGCAGCCCTGCTATACCATTCTAACCACACAAGGGGCAAGAGGCAGGCAGCAAGTACTGTACTCACTGCTCCCTGGAGGGCTGGGGGGAAAGCACTGAACCCTGGCTGAAGGGGATGGCTTTTAATTTATTTCTTTCTTTTGAGGTTTCCCCCTCTGAGCCAGTTTTCATTTCCTGCCTGTGGCATTAGCCGCTCCCTGTCTCCTATGCCAGACCTGTGCCCACAACAGGGAAGGGCTAGGAGCAAAAGGAGAAGGTGGAATTTAGTTTTATGTCATTGGTTTTTATTAATTATCTGGATAATAGCAAGGAACCAGAATAAAGATTGAGAGATCTGGACATACTAGCTGCCTTTGTCGAGTTGAAGCAGCTCTTCCCACCCCCCAGGCAATCTGCCCCAGGTGGAAGACTCAGGGGCCGCCATGACAGCACTCCTAAGGGGCAGATTACCTTATCTACTGCCCCCCCAGCTGGTGAATCCAAAGGACGAGAGTGGGTTCAGCTTCTGTATACTTTAGGGAGCAAGGGGTTCTGTAGAGATCCTCATGGGCGCCCACTGAGGACTGGGTCCAGGCTATTGTCCTCACAGGAACCTGGTTAATGACAAGGACAGAGGCAGACACGTTGGCTGTGGACTGCCTCCAGCCTGGAGGAGGTGTGAGTACTGGGGAGGCTGGCATAATCACCCAACAATAAGTGAAACCACCAGGTTGGGGACGGTGTGGGGAGAGTGAGTGTTGGGGAAGTGTTTGGGAAAAAGAGAAACTGAATTGGGAAGAGCTGGAGGCAGTTGTGGGGGGTGGGGTCCCAGCAGGGAGGAGCAAGAGAACTCACAGGCACCCAGCCTCTCCTCCAGCAGCAGCACTTGGTCACTGAGAGACTCGATCCGGTCGCCCCAGCCCCACAGCTCTGCCACCTGTTCCGGCTGCAGGTCTTGGGGAGGTATGGGCAGCACAGCTCGGACCCAGGCCCCAGCCTGCCTAGCCCACTGCAAAGGAAGAGATCTCAGGGTGTTGGGGATGGACTGTGCCCTCGTCCAACAGGGGGTTCGGCCCTAGGCACCCAGTCTCACCAGCTCCAGCCTTTCCAGGCGCCCTCGCAGCTCATGGATCTCCTGCTTCAGGGCATGCTCATCCTTTTCTGCTTCCGCTTCCTGAACTGGGACAAAGGAGAGCGTGACCACTGCTCCAGCCCACCACTGGCCCTTCCCGAGGCCCGAAAGCCCGCTGCTCACCCGCCACAGTAAAGATGCTGGCACTAGTTGGAGACTCCTGGGACCCCACTGTGCAGGAGCGCCTGTCTGGGCCCAGCACCAGGCCTTGTGGGCAGCCACAGAGGAAGCTGCCTGCAGTGTTTAGGCAACGGTGGGAGCAGAGGGTGACGCTAGTTCTACATTCATCCACATCTAGTTAGCAGAAAGAAGAGGGGGCTGAAGGGTTGGGACAGTGCCCGGGTGGACAGGGAAGGCCCAGTGCCACTGCAGGGAAGGGCGAGCCAACTCACCCACGTGACAGTGCTTCCCACCCCAGCCAGGGGCGCACTCGCACTGGTCAGGCCGAATGCAGACGCCTCCGTTCAAGCAGGGCTTAGCGCAGATGGCTGCGGGCACAGGAATGGCCATTTAGAATGCAGCAGTGGCCTTCCTAACCCCCGAGACACACCTCCCTGAGGCCCAGGAAGAACCAGCCTCACCTTCATCACAGGTGAGCGCCCCTGGATGACGCTTCTTCCAGCCCTGGCAGCACACAGCATGAGTCTGCTGCACCTCCCGCCTCACCTCCCGCCACGCCACTCGGTACGTGGTCCTGGAACACAGTGTCTGACTGTAGACTCTTGCATGTGGATCCTACTTGGGGTTCTTGGGGTTCCTCTTGAAAGACTCTGGAATCCAAGCTCACCGCTCCTCACCTGTACATGCTGCAGACGCGCCTTCCAGCACACAGGGTAAGGTAGGGCTTATATACTGGTTGGCTGTAGGACTCGTTGTAACGCAGTGGGACCATCAGTGTCTGCTTGGAGCAGACTCCCTGACTGCACCCATGTGAGAGAAGGTGGGAGACATGAGTAGGCCAGGCCTTGGAGAGCCTGGAATCCTAGATCCCTCTAGGCTCACTGAGGCCCAGTCCAACAGCCTCACACCCATTCTAAACTTCTGTTTTGCCACCTGTGAAGCCCCACTCCCAGAAGGTTTCCTTAGATCTCACCCTGCCCCTGCCCCTGCCGCCTGTTGTCACCTCTCTTTGAGGGATCCACCCTTGGACCCTTCGCCTGACAGCAGCAGCAGGAGGAATGAGAGTCCACCTAAGAGAGTGCACAGCTCAGCCCTGGACCCCATGGTTCTCCTTGACTCCAGACCGCCCTGCTGGCTACAGGTGAGAAGAGATTAATGATGGCCTTCCCTCCCCTATTAACTTCTCCAGCTCTAGCCCCTCCAAAGCAGTCTGCTGGTGCCTTGACATTCATTTCCAAGGGTGACAGAACATTCATTTGTACACACTTGCACTAGTCACCAGGATTGCCAACAGCACCCTTTTAGCATGCCATGGTCCACGCAGCACCACACAGGCTGCCCCTCACACGCTCCCTCCCTCCCTTCTTCACGCACAGCTGACCCTCCCCTCATGACCTTCCTTCCAATCTCTAACATGCCCTCTTCCACCCAATCTTTCTACCTTCGAAACCTCAGGTATTCACCACTACACCTTACACACAAACCCGCACACCTGGAAACTCCAGTCCTTAAACACATTCCCACTACCCTCACACACCCACAGCATCATGTACCTCTTACCCGGACAACACCCCCAATTCACACTCACTGTAAGGTTCTGAATGACCCCCCTTTCCCACTGACATTCTCTCCCCACCTGCTTTTCCCTCTCTCCCAGAAACTTCAGGCCACCAGCCTCAGCAGCAGCAGCTCAGAATGGTGGGTAGGCTGGGCTGCTGCAGAGGGGCTGGGCTACACAGAGTCCTCCCATTCCTGCCCCCTCCCTCCAGCCTCCCCCATAGCTCCAGCTTGTTCTGCTTAGTGGGGTCCAAGTCCTACTACCTTCACCCCAGCCCAGCAAAGGGCCCCCTAGAAGTATCTTCCAAACTTGAGGCCCCTTATTTCTGGAACCCTCCCCAAATCGGCAGAGGCCACTGGCTATGTAACACCACCAACACCCTCGGCTATTGCCCCCCTCTTAAACACAACACAGAGTGGGAGAGACCTGGGGAGCAGGGAGAGGGAGCTAGCAGAGAACAAAGTAGGGTCAGATGACGGGAAAAGGCGCAAAATCAGCTGAAGCAAGAAAGAAGGGGAAGTCATCAGTGAAGGGCAAGAAGGCAACCCAGGGCACTAAGAGGAAAACTGACCCCATTTCTTGTTGACATTTGTCAGGGCCTCGCAGGGGTGGGGGTGGGGCACAGTTGAGTCAGCCACCGCCCCCTATGCTAGAGCAGACAGGGCCTTATTGTCTCTACCAAAATTCTTTCTTTCAAGGAAGAGGAGGCTCATTGTCCAGCCCCTCACTCAGCTCTGGTCTACAAAGGTTGGAAAGGGGCTCAACAAATGCCCATCCTGACCCTTAGCCCCCTCATCCAGTGTGGGGGTAGCAGGGACATTCTATCCATGAAGCTGAAGCATAAACCACTGGAGGGAGCCCTGAGCCCAGCCTCCCAGTCTGAGGCCGGGACAGCTAGAGAATTGTTCTCCGCAGGAAAGAACCCAGAGAATCAGGAACCCACACAGAATGGGCATTGAGAGAGCAGAAACACCAAGAAGGTCCCACCCCAAACCAGGCATCGGGGCACCCAGGCCTCCAACTCTCCATTCCCACCCTTTTTGGGGAGCCAGGTCCCCCTCACCTGGAAATGAGCCAAGCCACACTGAGGAAATGGAACTTTATTTCCATAAATACTCGGGTAACACCCATTCAAGAGTAGCTAAAAAAGGGGCTGGGGCCTCAAAGAAACTAGGCTCCCAGAGGATGCCCCAACACTGAACATAGGGACTGGGGGATCCCCAAACCTGAGATGGGCCTTGCAGGCCACAGATATTCCCCAACACTGACACTTCAAGAATGAACTGTCCCCATAGGGGAGCCTCAGGACCCACTCTCATGGGTAGTTCTTCCTGGGCGTGGGAGGGCTGATGACAAGGGAACATGGGAGAACAGAAGCTAACAATGTCCTGAGCGGACTGGAAGGAGACCTCTGTGATAGGCAGGCTGGGCTCCTCTCCAGTGCAGCCGGAGATGGAGGAGCAGCCACAAGTTAAAAACCTGGTTTCTCACTTCCCAACCTCAGTCTTGGGAGGATGGGAGAGCATGGAACAACCCCCAGCAGAATACATGAGGTGGGGGAGACCAAGATATGTCATTCACAGAGTGGAGGAGGGGGTCCTGGGAGCCCTGGTTGGTGGGGGCAGTGTGCGAGCAATGACACGGTCACAGGCACAAAAGAGCCTGATGTCTGCTTTCCAAGGCCACCACTTGGTCTTTGGGCCAGAGAGTCCCTAGAGGACCCCTGAGGGCGTCCTCAGGAGAGCCAAGGTTCAATGCAGATCTCATAAAGGGTGTGGTTGGAGTGCCAGGCTGTGTGGACGATCCCAGCCATTGGACACCTCACTATGGCACCCCGGGCCAAGAGAGTCTTCAACCCAAAAGAATCCCGAAGATAAACCTTTGAGGTGGGTAAAGAGACATGGAAGAAAGACACAGAGAGAGACAAAGTGAGTTCCTGCTCATGTCTCAGGCCCCCTCCCCACAGGGCGAACCCTTTAGCTCATGGGTCAGTACCAGGGAGGGCTACAGACTGAGCTGAGACAGGCATGAAGAAATCCCAGACACTCACCAGTTGCTCTTCCATCTCCAAAACCGTCTCATTTTCATCATAGAAACCAAAGAAGCTATAAAGAGATGGGGGTGGGCCGTTATCAGGAGAGCTGGAGAAAATCAAAATATTTAACTGGATATCATATACCCTGTGAGGTGACGCACTAAGGACACAGCATCACTTCACCGAATTCCCATAAAAATATATAACCTGGATAGGAAATAGCCAACAAACACAAACTGAGAGATGTTCTACAAGATAGCTGGCCCATACGCTTCAAAAATATCAATGTCCTGGACAAAGACTGAGGAAGTATTCCAGACTTAAAAAGACATGAAAACTAAATGTAATACATGATCCTGGGTTGGATCTTGCACAGGAATTTTTTCTAAAAAGACAATTGAAAAAATTCGAATAAGATCTATAGAGTACCATATCAATGTTAATTCCCTGATTTTGATGATATTGCAGATATGTAAAAAAAAAGGCCCTGTATGTAGGAAATATACACTGACACACTAAAGTTTTAGGGGTAAAGAGGCAGCATGTCTACAACCTACTCTCATGGTGTGCGCGCACACACACACACACACACACACTACACATGGAGAGACAGGTGCTAGCACAGGCACGGCAAAATGTTAACATTTAAGAAAACTAGGTGAAGCATACACAAGATTGCTTTGGGCTACTCTGGAAACTTCTGAAGTAGAGGAGATTATTGAGGAGAGCAGTCAGAACACATAGACCCAACGTGCACCAGCTCTGCCACACCCCGCGCTGTGTGCAGCTGGGCGTGCTTCTTCTCCTCTTGGGCCGTTACTTCTCCTGTCTCCTCTCGACAAAGGAGGCATATAAGAAATGCCTCCTTTGTAGAAAGGAAGTAAAACATTGTGGTTAATGAGTAGCCTGACTTCACTGCTTACTAACTCTATGAATATAAGCATTTTGCACCCAAGTTTTCTAAAATGTGAAAGGAGGATAACAGCAATTACCCATAAGATTGTTTAGAGGATTAAATGAGCTTTATATGAAAAGTACTTGGAACAGTGCCTTGGGACAAAAGGTGCTATGTACCGTGAGCTATTATTACCTTCATAGGGTTGTTGTAGATCCAAAATGAAATATAAATATTATCTCTTACTCTTATTATAAGAGCTATTACTCCTTCACTCAAAACCCAACAATGCTTTCCTGTTTTACTTGGAATAACAAGTCAGGGGTCGAGGTTGCCAGGGGCTGGGAGGCAGGGCTGAGGAGTTAGTGTTTAATGGGTATGGAATTCCAGTTTGGGAAGAAAAAGAAGTTCTGGAGATGGATGGTGATGATGGTTACACAATAATGGGAAGGTACTTAATGCCACTGAACCATGCATTTAAAATGGCAAATTTTATGTTGTGTATATTTTAGAAAAAAGTCAAGGGCCTTACTTTGCCTTCCAAAGGCTCAACACAGTGGCTCCCTACTACCTCTCTCAACCTCCTCTCCCACTCTCCCCACCCCCCTGCACTCACTGGCCTCCTCCTTCCTCACACTTGCCCCGGGGCTATGCAGGTGCTGTCCTCCTTCCTTCACACTGTTGCACAAGCCTTCCCTCATTTCCTTCCTTGGCTCAAAGGGCAACCCTTCCAGGAGGACCTCTTTGGCCACTATCTAAAACAGGCTCCAGTCATCCTGTAAGCCCTCCCCTGCCCTATTTTATTACCACCTGACATCTACTTTTATATCTATTATAATCTGTATCGCCCACAAGAATGTACGCTACATAACAGCAGGGACTTCTCTTTAATTGACAGCTACATTCCCCAGGGCCCAGAACTGTGCCATGGCACACAGTGCTCAATGAGTGACTACGTAGATCAGGTGACATTTCATGTCATGTCACTCATGATGATCTGTAACAGAGTCAGGCACACAGTGCTGTGGAGACCTGGATTTTTCTGAGGAATAATAAGATGGAAGGGATGAGTGTGGAGGCACCCACAGTAGTCAGTTAAGTAAAAGAGGTGGTAGGAAATGGATTAAAACAGCATGGAACTGTCTACACGTACTGTGCCACAGTTCATGTCCTGGCTTTGATACTGTGCTGTAGTTACACAGGATGCAGCCACCAGAGGAACTAGGTGAAGGATACACAGGACCTCTCTAAAACATCTTTGCTGTTTTCAGTGAATTTGTAATTATTTCAAAGTTTAAAGTTTTTACAAAACCAGGGGTGGCAGGGATGGAGAGGAAGTAGAGTCAGCAAGAGGTAGTGACTTGCTAGATACAGGGGCTGGGGGATGACTTCCAGGTTTTGGTCTTGGCTGAAAGGATATGTGGAAGGTGGGGGGAGGGGTGTGCATTCACTGAGCAGTGGAACCAGTTTTAGACATGAGATGAAGATGGGTGGGGGTTAGGGGGTATCCTTAGCCAATCTTCAGGCCACACAGTCCCTTATTACCTGGACTGCCAGGGAGTAATAACACCATCATCAGGGCCCCCAATCAGCACCATGCGGCCCACACGAAGAAAGTTCTTCCGCCACACTGTGGGTTGGGAAGAAGACAGCCTGAGTCAGTCACAGGGATCATCAGGCCACGCTGCAGAGGGGAACATAGGAGGGGATCAGAAAAGCAGAAAATGGAACCCAAGCAGAAGCCCGAGGTCTCACCAGTAGCATTGGGATGGTCTCTTTCCCCATTGATCAGGGCCAGGAAGCTGCTGGCATTGAGGTACAAGTCATCGTGGTGAGGATCTGGGTACAAACAGCATTTAGAAAAACAGAGAAGCAGGGAGAGCAGGCAAGACTAGAGACTGGAAGACCAGTCAGGGGGCTACAGTAATAGACAAGGTGAAGAGTAATGTAATATAGCAGCAATAATAATTGTAAAAATGATGCAAACACCTTTATCTGGCACCTACTATGAGCCAGATACTGTTCAAAGTATATTACACTCATTAATGTACTTAATCCTTACAACCACCCTATAAGGTAAATACTATATTATCATATAACAAATGAGGAAAACTGAGTCACAGGAAGGTTAAGTAATACCCAAAGTCACCCAGCAGGGTCAGACTTCAAACCCAAGTAGTCTGAACCCAGCATCCATGATCTTAAAAAGTACCTTAGGTATTTGCACTACGCCCACTGCTTGTTTCTCTAAATAAAGTTTAATTGGAACACAGGTACACTCATTATTTACATGTGGCATATGGCTGCTTTCATACTGGTGTGACAGAATTGAGTAGTGGTGACTATATGGCCTACAAAACTAAAAATATTATCTGGCTCTTTAAAGAAAAAGTTTGCTGACCACTGCACCAGACTATACTTTCTGAAATACTAGGTGATACATATAAGACATTTTGAACAGTGCCTGTTCACAAAGTAAGTGCTCAATAAACATAAGTTATCACCATTACTATTGCTATTGGTTATGGTAGAGGGGGAGCAGCAAGCACTGCTCTCCAGGGTCCACCTCCATGGAGGTCCAGTTTAGCATCCCCTACTCACCATGCCAGTAGTTGCATATGGAAAATTCCTGCCCCCAGGGGCTATAGCAAATCCGGTAGAGGTTAGACCTCATGGAGGTAGGAAATAGCCACTTCAAGTAGTCAGTGTCTGGCAAGAAAATGGCAGTGTCAAGTAGCCCCAAACATTAGTGCCCCCAAAACTCAGGGCCCTCTACAAAGCCCACAGTACCCACTCACCTCCATACTGTCCCATCTGTGGAGAGGACAGAGAGATGAAAGAATCCACATTGTGTTCATCCATCACAGAAAGCAGTGCCCGGCACACCAGGCCCCCTGTAGGCAGACCGCAGTGGGTGTGGGTTTAGAGACAGCAAGGCCAACAGTCTCCCCACTCTGCCTATCCCCCCACCACAGTGCACATAAAGAAGACTGAGGCCCAGAGAATGCAGACATGCCCTGTGGCAAAGA